GAAGAAAGGGGTAGGAATGATAATGTTCAGAATACAGTCCTAGGACTCAGAGGTTTAAATATGGCTATTTTATAAAACAGAGTTCAGGCACAAGTGCAACTGCAAGGAAAGATTCCAAAACGGGGCAGTAAATAATAGCCATTATTTCCATGTATTTCTTTCTAAAACCTACCCATGGAACCAGATCTACTGGAGAGGACACGTGCTCACAGAAATAAATAGGAAAAGATGGGAAGGGGATTGAAGCTGAAATAACACCATTTCATAGTAAAGTATGATAGAATGTAGTTATTTTGCAAGTAGATGCTAGGAGCTCAGAAAATTCAGTTAAAAAATAAAACCCATCTGAATACGCTATGGCATTATTTCACAGCATTAAAACAGCCAAGGCCACAGAATTATGATTCTAGCAGTTTAATTTACTGCAACTCCAGCTGAGATTACATGGGTTTTTAGAAATAATTTCTTCTCCTTAAAAAATAAACAAACAAACCCACCATGGCTTTCCACCTCTCACTATCAATATTTTTACCACAAGCTCTGGCTGACACAGATCTTAGGTGTGTTTACTGTCCATAGCAGTAACGTTTGTTTTTAATGTATTAGAAGCCATTTTATTATTGCACCAGTAAGAATATACTGTTTCATTTCCATTTATTTAGACTTTGCTTTGTTTGGCTGAGGAAGGTTAGTGATTAATGCTGAGTACTACTGTGTAAGAAGGGGACTTCGTCTTGATTTTAAGAGTGAAGCAGAAGCAGATCTCCATGGATGACTCTGTAACCTCAGGGAAACCACTTGCTTATGTCAGTGTGATACCAGATTTGAAAGTGGGAATGAAGTGGGAGGAGGGGGAGGCCTTTCTCCAATAATGGGAAAATCCTTACTTTGGATTTATTACTTCTTTCTGTTTTGCTTTGAAATAGGCAGAAATAAAGCCTGAGATATCAGAAACTGTCCATTTGTTGCTAACTGGCAGCACTGAACAGTTTCCAAAATCCAGTTACCTACAGCCAGTAGATCTACAATCTCAAATGCAGAGGCAGTTTTCTTTTAAAGAGACTGTTGCATAGCATCCACATAGAATTCAGAAGCCCGTTTACTGACACACAGTAATGGATTCCATTTTGAGCTTTGCCAGTGTGAGGGATATGCTGCTTCCCCAGCTCATCCTGACTTCTCACACATAGCCCTGTTCAGGTGTTAACTACCACATTATCTGATCCTGCTAGTTGCCTCCCTGATTTCTTCCCCCACCCAGACATTAACCATCAGTAACAGTCCTGATGGCCTTATCCTGAGGGGGAGATCGGGCTAAGTGTGAGTACACCAGCCAAGAGTCATTTCTGAATTGAAAGAATGACTATCAATCATCTTATCCCATAAATACGGGGACAGCCCAAGAGCCCACTGAGCTCTCCTTGCATGGCAGCGGGCTGCACTCCAGGATCTCCCCCTGAGGAGGGATGCCTCTCAAGGATACTCCTCGAGGTTAAGAGATCCTTCCCACTACAGATTTGTGGTAAGTGACTATAGCGCGCCTTTCTCTTTTTTGAATTTGTAAACTTACTTGGTAACTGTGCACAAATCGCTTAGACATAAACCGCTGACCAGATCTGGGACTAGGACTGGATCCAGCCACCCCCCAGACTCCCCTCAGAAGGAGTTTGGATAGCAAGGGGGTCCAATCTGAACCTTGTGACCCAACAGGAGGGTGTCCTTGGCAATTGTGTGCATCTAGAACCTCTATGCAGTAACTAATAAGTGACCTTGCCATAAAATCTTGTGAAACCATTGTCATTACCAATAAAACATATTCCTATTTCTTTCCCACAAGTGCAATGCATTGTGTCACTCACCCCCACCACCACTCGTTGCGTGACAGTCAGGAATCCTCCTATCATTGGCTATGTAGAAAGAAAAGCATTCTCCTTGCATACGCATATGCAGGAGAGACTAGACTACAAAATTGTCTTTTTCAAAATTAAATACAGTGCCTTGGAAGAAGTTTTCAGTAATAAATAATTTTTTTGAAAAAGTTGTTGGACATTCTTAAACGGAAACTTTTCTGTATAAAGGAAGTTTGATCTGTTTGGTATGATATGCTTATGATAAACAACAGAGACTACATACATTTGTAACTCAACTTGACAGAAAGTATTTAAGTAAGGAAAAAAAAAAAAAAAGTGGTTAAAACAACCAGGCCAGGCCAACACTAAACGGCATGGCCTGGGGGAAGAAAGTATATCTACAACCTGGTCTGATTTTGACTACATTATTAGCTGGACTGGCTTAAGTCATGTACTTATCTGGCTAGATCTGCTGGGTTGCACAGAAATTGGCCCCATTTCAGACAGCAGGCCTTGCTACATGACATATGGACCTGACATGGTAGTTCTCTATACAGGTGGAATTATATTGTCTTTACAATTTAACTGCTTTCTTTTTCTCTAACTATCCTCACATACTTTCACAATTCAGTATCATCCTTATTATATTAGGAAAGTATATTACAATCTGAGGAGGAGAGTTTATTTTATTGCTTTACTAAGCTTAATACTTGATCATTATGAAATTACATTTTCTTTGATGTTAGAAATGTAAGTGCATCATTCGAACATGCCAGATTGCGTTCCAAACGCGCCTTAGCTTTCCTTGTCGCATCTCTGCATTCCCTGACTATGTTCCTGTATTTCTCCCAGGGGCCTGTCCTTTTTTCCACATTCTATGTACCGCCGCCTTCTGCTCGAGCAATGCCACAAGCTCCTTGCTCATCCACGCAGGTCTCCTGCCCCCTCTGCCTGACTTCTTACACACAGGGATGCTCTGTTGCTGGGCGTGGAGGAAGTGCCGCTTGAAAACTAACCAGCTCTCTTGGGCCCCCCTTCCTTCTAGAGCTCTAGCCCGTGGCATTCTTCCGAGGAGGTCCCTGAAGAGGCTAAAGTTGGCCCTCCTGAAGTCCATGGTTGCAAGGCTACTTACAGCCCTGCCACCTCCTCGTTGGATCCTGAACTCCACCAGCTCATGGTCACTGCAGCTGAGGCTACCCCCCACCTTCACATCTCCTACATGTCCCTCCCTATTTGATAGCACGAGGTCCAGTAGCCCGCCTCTCCTTGTCGGCTTCTCCACAGCTTGGGTCAAAAAGTTATCATCGACACTCTGCAGGAACCTCCAGGACTGTTTGTGCCTGGCTGTGTTGTCCTTCCAGTTGATGTCAGGATAGTTGAAGTCCCCCATGAGAACCAGGGCCTGTGACTGTGAGGCAATATCCAGCTGACTACAGAAGGCCTCATCATCCTGGTCAGGTGGCCTGTAGCAGACACCCACCACAGCGTCTCCCACATTAGCCTGTCCTCTAACCCTTACCCACAAGCTCTCAACACGCTCATCATCCACTCCCAGGTTGAGCTCCATGCATTCCAGTTCCTTTCTCACATAAAGAGCAACTCCACCCTTCCACTCCCCTACCCAGCCTGTCCTTCCTAAAGAGCACATAGCCTTCCATGGCAGCGCTCCAGTCATGTGAGCTATCCCACCACGTCTCTGTGATTCCAATGAGATCACGACACTGGGACCGCACACAGATCTCCAGTTCATCCTGCTTATTCCCCATGCTTCGTGCATTGGTGTACAGGCATTTTAGGGAAGTAACCAAGCCTGCAGGTTTCCCAGGAGGGGTGAAAGAGGACCCTCTGTGATCATTTCCTATCCTCACTTCCCCACTAGCATACTCCCGCAGGAAGCCATCTGACCTAGGCTGCGTGGTACTGTTCGCCGTGTCTGTATGACACTCCCCTTCAGTTTGTAGGCTGATATCAGTGACTGCACAGTAATTGAAGTTTTCTAACTTTCCTAATAAACCAGAATATACACATCAACGTGTAGGCATGATGGTTAGTGCTATTAAGCAGCCCTCTTCTCCCATTAACATCATGGCAGAGCACATGTCCAGCCATACTGTAAGGAACCGGATGCACAGCCTTCTCTCCTGAGCCATCCTGAAGCTCACATCCAGCACTGCAGACTGAGCCACAGAAATTCATCACACAGTTGACAATAGGGATATGGCAACTTAGGCAGCAGGAGCACATTATATGCACATACCTCCACTGCTATCCACCACATCGACTGCTAATCCTCATTCCCCATACTCTCAATGCACATCAGTACGCACATACTGTATACCCAAGACTTAATGAAGAGTAAGGGTACAGTGGGAATGTCACACTACTTCTATGAAGCATTGAAGTCTGACTTTTTTCTGGACAACAAAAGAAAGCCTCAAAAAGGGAAAAAGATGGACACCAGCCAAAGAATGAAGAGAGGGCAAAACATTTACGGATGTAAATCTACTGTACAGCTTTCCCTTGTTATAAACTACATCCCTGTCTGCAAACCCATGGAAGATATTCTGCAAAATAAGAAGATGATACAAGTAAGCTTGTCTCATGTCCCATACGAACCTAAATTCCTGCTTCTCTACTAAGGGTTTTTAATTAAAGGTGTCATTAAAGTTTGTAATTAAAGGAAACATACTAGGTCAGTATCCTAGAACGGAGTTTAGACTAAAGCAATAATGCACTGCACAGCGTGGCTATAAGACTACTATGAAATTAAAATAAAGATTTGGAGGCTCAGAGTAACCCTTGTTGGTGTAATGGGATGGGGGGAAGGGCAGCATGTGCTTTGGGTATTTTCACCAAATGTTAAATCACACAGAATATCTCACTTGTCTCTAGCGTGATCACAACATGACTCCTCTGTAATGAATTCTTTATCTTGGCAGCTCTCCTGCTTTCTCCCAACTGTGCTTCCCTCTCCACTTCTGGGCCTGCTGCAGTAACATACAGTAGGGTTTGGCGCACAGCTCAGGCCTGGGAGCAGGCCCTGCTGCCCACACCTGCGCCGCCCACCACGGCACCATGCAGCAGGCAGACGTGCAGGGGTCACGCTCCAGCAACGACACATGAGCTCACTTTGCTTGCTTGCCTTCCCAGGCATGCCGGAGCAGTCAGCCTTAGGCAGCCATATGGGGGTTGGAAATTCACTGGCTGCAGTGTAAGGCAGCAACGGGCTCTCACCATTCCCCAAGAGAGGCTGACGTCACTTCCACATGGTTACGATCAAGCTGCCACCTCAGGGGACGATGCGGCAGCAGGATCCCTGGGTGTCCCAGGTGGTTACAAGGACACCCTGCTAACCCCCATCCTCTCCACGCCAGTCACAAATGTCTGTAACGGGACGACACACAAACACACAGTCCCCTTCACCACAGGGCAGCACCAGGACAGAGGCGGCAAAATGGCGGCCGCTCTCGCCACGACTACTGCGCTGCCCGCAGCGCCCTCCAGGCCGGGGTTCTGCTCCCCTCAGCCCCCCCCCCCCGCCGTGCCCCGCCGCCCCGGTTGCCACGACGACAGCGTGGCGGGCG